TGCTTTCTTATTAATAAGTACTATTTAAAGCACGCGTAGGAGTGTTTTATAAATTTATCACATATAAAACACGACTCATCTTATACGAGTTCATTTGCGAAATAATTTTTAAAATAAACTTTGTCTAAACCGAGAGAATCAAAGCTAAAGTTTATGTAAGGCCATATAAAATAAATTCCTTGATTCTCATCTTGATTCTCATAATTGCACATGCGCTAATGAACATGCATAAGGGTCCACACAAATCGTTGTAATAAGGCTATAAGCCATAGGCTATAAGCCCATTTTTTCCTTCAGTATTCCAAGCATCCCTTAGACCCCGTTTACACGGTACCGGACGAATTTGGGACCGGACGAAAATTCGTCCTTTTTCGCCTGTTTACACGCGAATTCGTCCTGTTAGGGGGTCTCAAATTCGTCCGGTTCCGTGGTTCTCGTGTGTTTACACGGCCGAAACGGACGAATTTTCGTCCGGTCACAAATTCGTCCGGTACCGTGTAAACGGGGTCTTAACATGTTGCAATATTAACGATAAAACAATTTTATATCGCAAAAATTCCAATATAAAATATAAAAATAACTAAATGTCTAAAGATGCTCGGTCGGGCGGTAAATCTATATTTTATAACAAAATACAAAAATATATCAACGCGGAAACCAAAATATCGTCGGGCGGTGATGAGAATCAAGGAATTTATTTTATATGGCCTAAATTAAAGTGATTTTTTATCACATATACTGTAAAACCACGACACGCTTATGATTTTTCTTTGTGTTTTGCTCCGGAATTATTAATGACTTTTTGAACGATAATTATAAACGCACGCCTATATTATACATTCCACCAACTTTTGGCATTCGCTTGAAAGTTTTAGTGACTTGAAGATTAATATTTGACTTTCATGCGGATTCGGTTCTAAGATGTCTTCCATGTGTTCATTTTCCACTCGTATAAAATCTGAATGCGGCAGTCATTTGTGAGTGTGGAGAATGTTACTGTATGTTGACAAAATGTAAAGACGATATTCGCGGGCATCTTTCAAGCTGCCACTTGTCTTGGGAAAATATCGAAGAGTATGAATTAATCTTAGCCAGGGCTGGATTGTTTGATATTCCGGAGTCAACTGGAGAAGATGGGGGTTTGCCCTCGTCACGCATTGGGGAAGGAATAGCGTCCTCTTCGCTTGTGTCAGTATCCAACTCATCTATCCAAAAAGAAAAAAGTGCAAGGTTCCCATGTTGTTCAGCTAAAGCTTGCAAAAGAAATCCATAAAATAGGACTGTGGAGTTGTAGGGTTGTAGAGCGGTATAGAGTTTTAGAGCTGTAGAGCTCTAGAGCTAGCTGTAGAGTTGTAGAGCTCTAGAGTTGTAGACTTGTAGAGTTGTCGGGCTGTAGAGTTGTATAGCTCTAAGGCTGCAGAGTTGTAGGGCTGTAGCGTTGTAGAAGTGTAGAGTTGTAAAGGCACAGGGCTGTAGAGTTGTAGGGCTGTAGACTGAGCTGTAGTGTTGTAGAGCTGTAGAGTTCTAGAGCTGTCGGACTGTAGAGTTCTAGAGCTGTAAAGTTGTAGGGTTGTAGCTTTGTTGCCACGAATAGTGCCAATTTGTACTTCAGACGAATGCCAAAAGTTTGTGGAATGTAACATAGGCGTGTGTTTATAAGAGGTGAATATTCCCCGATAATCACTGAGCTTGAGTTTTAGCATTTTTACACAAGCCTTATGTGTTTTTTAGGACTGAATTTATTTTAATTTCGCTTATTTCTTTATCAGTAACTTCCACAAAACGGCTAGCCGCCATTCTGTAAATTTTGGTTTTGTTATATTCACCTGTGGGTGAATATAACAGCTTAATACGTCACATTTGACATAGATAGATAAACTTTATTTACCCACGCTAACCCTGTTAACCGAAGCTGATTTTCCACAGGGGGCGTATAAAAAGTGATTGTTTATTCATTGATATACCCCGCGTCAAAATATTCAGCAGAGAAATTGACACTTTCCGGTTTCTGACAATGCTGGACCTAATTAGCATGTAGCATAAATTTTTACATTTATTTAATATAGCAACTTAATTGCAGAATTGTAATCTTTGTTTATGAAAGGATATATTAAATGATTTTTATAAGTTTTACAGTTTAAACAAATGCCTGTATTCGCCGATCAACATTTCAAGCCGTTTGCTAAATAATCGATTCAAGATATTCATAACTTGAGCACCGATAAATACAAAAATAAATGACCAAGCGCGACAGAAAAAATATTTGAGTATTAATTGCGAAACGTTTAATAAACAAAAGCAAAATAAAAGTTGACTTTTAAGTTATTTTTTCCAGCAATGTTGCTGGGTGAGAGTTTTCAAGAAAAATTACCTTAGCAACGCATGCGTCGTCACTCGTCAATTACAGGAAAATTATCAAACTTTGTAGATGATTTGTGGCTATGCCCGTCAAGTGCCCAAATATTTCACGTTTCCCGTTAAAAAAACACAACTCTAGGTTCACAATGGTAGTAATGACTGTGTACTTGGTATAAGGTGCCAAACTTACGAAAATTGCTATTTAATTTGTCTTATAATGTGCGACTTTGCAAACTAGTAAAAGTGTATCTTTTCAGAAAATTATTTCTCCTGAAATCCTGCATAGATGTTCCTGATTTTTTGTTGTAAGAAACTATAACCACTGATTGTTAAAATAGTTTGATACATAAGACTCTCACTTACCTACTTGCTTCGCGAGAGTCGTACGAAAATCTGCTATTTACGGCAGTTTCAGGCCGCCATTTTGGACCCGTCAAGGTGTAAAATATCGATGGGCCAAATTTTACAAAAAAAGCTTTTTAACGCAAACCGATTTCTTTTTTCATACAAGTACCTGAAAGGAAAATTATTGTGAAAGATTTGAAGACTTTCATATTTCCTTCCAGAACTGGGTGCCCGGTTCTTACAGAGACAGCCTCTTAAGTGTCTCGGTACTGATAACAACTTAACAAACTATTGTCAAGGTTACAGCGTGCACAATTTTGAGACAACTGACGGTATAGCAGAAACACCTCAATATCTACCTTTCGATCTTAGAAATATCGCGAAATTGCGCTGATTCAAGATCGTTCACCAGAACATTCGAAGCCTAAGCAGGAAAATTGATCAGCTGCGCCTTGTTATGAATAATCTCAAGTCGGGTATACATTTACTAGCCCTGACAGAAACTTGGGCTGGCAGTCATATGCTCGATAGTGAACTTGAGAGTCCAGGGTACAAACTATTTAGACGAGACAGAGGCTCCACTGGTGGCGGGATTGCAGTATATGTTAAAAGCGAGATAGTGGCAATTAGGAGAGACGATTTAGAAGACTCTAGTGTCGAAGGACTTTGGCTTGAGATCTTGTTGCCGAAATCCCGTGCGTTTTTGGTGGGTACTTTTTATAGGCCTCCAAATGCATCAAAGTACCATGACAAAGATTTTATGGCTAAACTCGATAACAGTTTGGATGGTGTTACATCTGAAGGTAAGGAACTGCTTATACTGGGAGATTTTAACTGTGACTTTCTGGCTAAGAGAGCAAGTATCCCAGATTGTAAACAATTAAGAGCCCTCTTTAAAAGCTTACATATTAAACAGCTGATTAAAGAAGCCACCAGAATCACACCGGAGTCTAGTACGCTGTTGGACTTGATAGCTACTAACAATTCACAAAATATTAGTACGTCTGGAGTGATAAGTTCAAGTCTGAGCGATCATGAAATGGTATATTGTATACGTAAACTAAATTGGAAAAGAGCGCCAGCCCAAATCAAAACATTTAGAAACTATGTAAATTACGATGCGAATAATTTCTGCAATGATTTGAATGATGTTAATTTGACCCCGGAGAATATCCCCGATGAAGATTTGTGCGATCAACCGGTAAATGACTTATGGAATACCTTTAAGTCGGCTTTTGTTTCAGTCGCCTAAATTCATGCCCCTGTTATTCAAAAGCGTGTACGGGGAATTGATAATTGCCCTTGGTTGAATAGTAATATCAAAAGTACTATCAAACAGCGTGATTATTTGCTTAGAAAAGCACGTAGAACGGCCAGTGATGAGGATTGGGCAAACTATCGTACTCTAAGAAATCGTGTTACTAACATGATTAAAAAAGCGAAAGGGGCTTATAATAGACAATTATTAGAGGATAACAAGGATAATGATAAAGCATTCTGGAGAACAGTAAAAAAGATTATACCTGGAGAGAGTAAGGAAGTTTCCTCGAATATTAAAGTTGGGGAAAATATTACCAGTGATAAGCTAACTATTGCCACTGCTTTTAATAAGTATTTCGTTGGTACTGTGACCCGTCTTTTTGAGTCGGCAGAGCGCTCTATCACAGACCTGGGCGGTATGATTGTAGCAAGAACATTTGATCCATCTCGAGTACAGCTTAGTACATTTCAATTTAAAGAGATCCCCGTGAGTTTTACTTTAAAACAACTTCGTGGATTCAAGACAGGAAAGGCAGTTGGTCTGGACAATATTCCACCACGTTTACTGAAAGACCACTTACTACCATTATTAACGCTTCCTTACGGCAGGGTATAATTCCAGACGATTGGGAGTCCGCACGAGTAATTCCTCTATTTAAGAAGGGCAAGGTTGAAGATCTAGATAGCTACAGACCTATCTCCGTCCTTCCAATCGCGTCGAAGTTGCTAGAAAGAGCTGTCCATACGCAACTCTGTGAATATTTAAAGGAACATAACATTTTAAGTCCACACCAGTGTGGATTTCGAAAGGCCCATTCAACAGAATTTGCAGCTCTATCTCTTGCGGATACCATACGGAGAAATATAGAACAAGGACAATTGACTGGGGCACTTTTTATTGATTTTCAGAAAGCATTTGACAGCATAGATCACTCGGTGTTACTGAATAAACTATCTGCTTTAGGAATCGTAGATCACGAACTTGTTTGGTTTGAGGGTTATTTGCATATTCGAAGTCAAATCGTTGGGTACCAGGGTGTATATTCGGAGGCTGAGTATCTAACGTCTGGTGTTCCACAGGGCTCAATACTGGGCCCCCTCTTGTTTGTTTTGTACCTTAATGATCTTCCAAGTGTTGTTCGTAATTGTAAAATACTAATGTACGCAGACGATACTGTTCTATTTTACCCACATTCAGATGTTGCAGTAATACAACAGAAACTTAATGATGATCTCGAGCTCATCGGAACCTGGCTACTTGATAATGGTCTATTTGTTAACACCTCGAAAACTGAATCTATGTTATTTGGAACTCATGCAAGGTTATCTCGTGTTGATGAGTTTGCTATTTTCATGAATGGTCGTCTTATAAAGCGTGTGTACGAATTCAAATACCTTGGAGTCGTGTTCGACGAGTGTATTACGTGGAAATCGCATAGCAAATATATCCTATCCAGAGCTGGGAAGAGACTGGGCATGTTAGGACGTATCAGAAATGATTTAACACCTCACTGTGCAAATATTGTCTATGTATCATTCATTCGCCCTATTCTTGAATATTGTGATACAGTATGGGATCGCTGCGGTGTTGGTAATGCCTCAAGTCTGGAAAAGCTTCAACGGCGTGCTGCGAGGATTGTGTCCAGAATACCTGACAGCGACAAAGCAATGAACATGTTGAAGTGGCCTTCTCTGCAGAGTAGGCGAGACGACAACATTTTTAAATTAGTCAATAAATGTATTCAAGGCCGTTGTCCTCAACTTTTTAAAAAATATTTTACTTTTAACAGCTCGGTACACAGTAGAGTGACTAGGCAGAGTCATAAACTGCACTTGCCTCGAGTACGAATTGAACAGGCAAAGAAATCCTTTTATTACAACGGTTGTGTTGTATATAATAATAAGCGAAAATAGTTTTATTCTCTAGTATATATATAGTATATTGTTTTAATACCTAATTGTCATATAGCATGTAAAGATTGTATTTTTTTAAATAGCAGGGCTCCAGTTGATAGCAGTAGTTTTTACTACTGATTGGACTACCCTGTTTAAATAAAGGTGTCAATCAAAAAAATTAACATTTAAATGCATGAATGACAAAGCTCCACAGTATTTATGCGATAATTTTGAACAACGAAACAGAATTCATAACCGAGATACTAGAAGAAATGGAGACCTGGATATTCCAAAATATAGGACATCGATCGGTCAAAGATCGTTCAAATACCGAGGGACTAAGTTATGGAATGGTCTAGATACAGAGCTGAAATCAATTAGTGATTTGAACAATTTTAAGACGAAACTTAAGACAATTCTTATTGAGAAGCGATGTCCTTCTTTTTAACTTTTTTAACTCATAAACCATAATATATAATATAATTTAATTCGCGTAATAACTTTGATAAGATTGTTGTAAATATATATAGTCGATAACTAATAATTTCTTCTATTATCTCATACCTAGCGTATTAGCGGCTTTCCTATTGGCTAAGAGGAGGTGCGTTCAATCTCGAACCCACCTGCTGACGTATGTTTAGGAAGTGGGTTCGAGATCGATGTTTTGGCGGCGGCCATTATGAAGCGATTTGAACAAATTTCAGACGAAGATTTAAATAAAAAATAAATTAACTGTTTTATATTGTTTTACAATTATTATTTTTTTATTTTGTGTGATAAAAATGGAATATTCTGTATTCAAAGTGGAAACAAAGAAAGATGGCCGCCGAAATTTGTTCGGCACGAGCAGGTTTATATAAATCTTGGCATTGTTTTCGCAGAATGTGTTCATTTTGTTTTTGGAAAAATAAGGGAGTATTGTAGAGAATTTTTTTAGCTTTAATTTAAGCCTAAATTTGTTTGTTTGCGTAGTATGTTGGCGGCTAAAATGTTCGTTATCCAAACACGAAATTATATACTAAAAAGTAAGATGCGTATAAAATTCTTCAGTACTTTTTAGCATTTTACCGAAATGGCATGTGATAAAAACCAAACATACTTGCAGGTACGGTGAGTCCGGGATTGGACGCACCTCGGGTGGCTGGAAGTTTCCCGAACTCACCTCGCTTCGCTCGGTGAGTTCGGGAAACTTCCAGCCACCCGAGGTGCGTCCAATCCCGGACTCCCCGAACCTGCAAGTATGTTTGTTATAAAATCCATGTAAATTGTCATTGAAAAGCCCATTTTAGGGAATGTCAATTAATAAATTCAATCAATTCAACTATCCAGCTATAGTATGAGTGATGGTAACGCTCAAATATATGTCTAACTTTAATCTGGCAGCAGCTGTCTTGCAACTCTATCTGGGGTATAGCCACTTTGAAAGATGTGCTAACCGCTAAGTAACTAACAACGTTTCGGGGGGAGGGTCTAAGGGGAATTCACATTCTGTGTATTTGTGGGGATGAAGTGTCCATAAAATGTCAACTTCAGGCCCATAGACTCAATATATGTCACACATAATATATCTAAATCTAAGGACTGTCCATGGGGGTTTACCCCCGATGTTCAGGTTAAGGACTGGCCATATGGATTTAGTGCCTTTGGTCAGGCTAAGGACTGCCCATAGGGGTTTTGCGCTCCGATTGGTCAGGGTAAGGACTGTGCATATTGGGGTTTCGTGCTCCAGTTGGTCAGATTAGGACTGTCCAAGTGAATCTTGGTCAGGTTATCAGTGCCAGTTCAGAATCAGTGCAGCTAATAGGGTGTGACATATGAGTAGGCATGATGCCTGTCATATACTGTAAATGGACTCTTCACAACCCCGAACCCCTCTCCCAGAAAAATAAATAATCGTGTTTAATATTGTGTTTGTCAAGAAAGTGGAGGGAAAAATCAACAACTTGAGTCATTAAAATAAGTTAAATGTTGGTTCCGATTCTTCTGACAACGTGGGTTTCACAATTTCCTCTACGGAAATCTCATTAACACCGCGCAAGCCTCAAGTGCTAACTAACATTGAAGAGTGGACAACCGCTTTCAACACGTATATGTTAATCATTGTACAAAAATTTCCAAATCGTGCATCAGAACTTTTACAGTACATGGAAACCATCCGTCATGCGGTAAAAACGCATGGCGGTTCAGGCTGGTGCATATATGACCACAAATTTCGTTATAAAGCCGCCGCGTGTCGAACATTGTCGTGGGCCAACATTGATATGCAGTTATGGTTGCGTATTTTCACTGCTAGCTCTACTCAGTTGCGGGAAGATTATTCCCTTTTCTCTAACGGACCCTCAAACAAAGCTGGGGGAGCGAGGGACGGAATTTGCCACAGCTACAACAGGGGTAGACCTTGCCCATTACGACCCAATTGCCCCTACACTCACCGATGTAACCGAATTGGCTGTGGGGGGAAACATCCTGGGTACCAATGTCCACAATCCCGTGGGGAAAATGATCACAACGAAGACCACCCTTCACAATCCGCCCGTAGTTTAAAGTCTAGTACATATAATAGCAGTAATTCAATACCTTTAGACAATACTATAGTTACGCCAATTCGCGTTGACGCGCTTGAAGATGCTCTTTGTGGGCATCCCGATTCATCATTCGTTTTGAAACTCTGTTCAGACTTGCGTTTCGGTGCTCGTCTCGGTTACGATGGTCCTCGCATGTCCAAATTTTCGAAAAACTTTAAGTCTGCCATTGACAATCCAACTATTGTTTCAACTAACCTAGCTAAGGAAGTTGCTCTTGGCCACACAGCTGGTCCTTTCACCAATCCCCAATCTCTCATGGAAAATAGCGATTCGTACAATAGTTTCCTTCGCGCCATGGTGATTATCACGCGATCTATTCCCGCCATCGGCGATAGAATATAGCAAAAGTACCCCATTTTCAAACCGCGATTACTAGTCAATTTCGTCGAGCTACTTTGAGTTTTAAAGTCTAATTGAAAGAACAAACTTTCTTTAATTCGATGACGTGTTTTATTTTAATTTCCCCTCAAAAAAAAGAATATAGCTTCTGCATTTTTTGAAAGCCACTTTTGTGGCGTGTCCACTGACCCGAATCAATTATGATTACAAGCCGTAATTAACATAACTGAAAAACAATTCCTGTACCAAACAAGTCAAAAATAATTTAATTAGGTTCTTAAATAATACAAATATAAAAACACACCTTTGAAAAAACGAGATATACGGTGCCTAAATCGCAATGTATTTCAACAGCTTTTCGCCAAATGTTCGTTGAAAATCGTAATTGTGAATAATAATGTGATGCAATGCATTGTGGGAAGACCCTCATTCCTCCTCTGACTTGGGTCATTAAATTTTGTTAACGATCTTGTTTACTCGAAACCGGTTTTTGTCACGACACTTGCCGAAAATTTCGCTTCTTTTATTGAGTAAATTGTCTTTGTTTATGTCTTTCAAAATGCAAAGCTTTTAAAAGTAACAATACACTCAAAATATGTAACAACTACATGCGTATGTTTCAAAGATTATAAAAGATATCATAGAAAATAGTTTCCTTCGCGCCATAACGATCAACACCCGGTCTATTCCCGCTATCAGCATTAAAATATAGCAAAAATACCCCATTTTCAAACCGCGATTGCTTGTCGATTTGGAGGAGCGATTTAGCGTTTTAAAGAACCAACGGAAACAGCAAGTCTTCTTGAATTTGATGACGTGTTTTTTTTTACTTTTCTCATTAAAAAAGGTAGTTCGCTCCTGCGTTATTTCGAAGCCATTTTTTTGGCGTGTCCATTGACCCGAAACAAGCATAAATACAATGCGTAATTAGCATAACTAAAAAGCAATATCTATACCAAAAAAATATAAAACTGTTTAATTAGATGTCCAAACAAAACAATTATCATCACATACTTTCGAAAAAACGAGATCTTCAGAGCCAAAAATCGCAATATATTTCAACAACTTTTTCGTTAACGTTTGCCAAAAATCGTAATTGTGAATAATAATGAGACGCAATGCATTGTGGGAAGACCCTCATTCCTCCTCTGAATTAAACTTAAGAATTACCATCCTATGTTCGTGTGAACACTCTTACTAAATGGTGGGTTGAACCAAATTATGTTGCGTTGCCTATTCCAACGTGTCCATTGCGATGCATCCTGCATGAGTGTACGTAAATTTGTGGTCAAAGTTACAATGTCTAAGGGCGTTCCGGTAATAGGCGTAGATTCCATAAATGTTTGTTCGTCCGATGAGAGAAGTGCAATACGTTTGTTGATAGTCGTAGGTAATTGTCTTGTAATGCTTGGTGGATGGTTTGAATGTCTGTTGATGTACAATGGATCGTCATTGAGTTTCCTGTATGGTTAGTGTTTTGCGTTGTTCAGGTCGAAAGTATAACATCTAAAAAATTTACAACGTTCGAATTTACTTCGGCGGTGATTTTCAAGTCAAACAACTCTACTTTTCGCCAACGGAAAATTATGGACAAAAAAAGACGGAAGCAACTGTTTATTTGATGTCACTATGGGTAGTTTCGACGGCGCTGAAATTTGTGAGCTGGTAGGCCTTTTTATTTTAAATCACTTAGGTAAAAGGTTTGGCAAGGAAAACATCGGCCTTTATAGAGATGACAGTTTGGCTATTATAATTAAAAGGCAAATCCGCCCGTTTACTACACAAAACTAGAAAAGAGTTACACAAAATTTTCGAGAAATTTGACCTGAAAATCACCGCCGAAGTAAATTTGAACGTTGTAAATTTTTTAGATGTTGCTTTCGACCTGGACAACGCAAACACAAACCATATACAGGAAACCCAATGACGATCCATTGTATATTAACAGACATTCAAACTATCCACCATGCAAGCATTACAAGATAATTACCTACGGCTATCAACAAACGCATTGCACTGCTCTCATTGGACGAACAAACATTTAAGGAATCTACGCCTATCTACCAGAATATCACGAAAATACGTACACTCAGGACGCATCGCATCGCAACGGGACACGTAGGAATAGGCAACGCAACATAATTTGGTTCAACCCACCATTTAGTAAGAGTGTTAACACGAACATAGGATGGGAATTCTTAAGTTTAATGGACAAACACTTTCACTACAGCACAAACTACACAAGATTTTTAACAGAAACACTTTAAAAGTAAGCTATATAGTTGCATGAACAACGGTAAGTCTATAATCACCAAACACAACGCACATATAATTTAGGACAGCCAATCACAGAATACGGAAACTGACAACTGTAACTGTGACAACAAAAACACTTGCCCACTACCGAAACAATGTATGAACAACAACATTATTTACAAAGCCACAGTCACAACGCACAACACGAACGACACTAAACACTACATTGGTATGACAGCGACTACATTTAAGGAACGTTACGCCAACCACACTTCATCTTTTTCGATCGCCATAAAAAAGACTCAAACAAAACGGAACTTTTGAAACATATTTGGAAGTTAGAAGAAAACAATCAGGATTATATCATCAAATGGTCAATTTTAAAACACGCTATTTCGTACACAGGGGGATCAAAACGCTGCAATTTATGTGTGGAAGAAAAACTTTGCATTTTGAAAGATATAAACAAAGACAATTTACTCAATAAAAGAAGCGAAATTTTCGGGATTAAGCATTGCGCCCCGCGCATTCTTTCGATAGCATAAATGCAACCTATATTTTAGAAATTACTCACCACCTGATGATTCCTATACGGATGAAACAGAGTGTTGCGGTTGTTTTGAGGTAAAACGAAAAACTATATATATATATATATATATATATATATATATATATATATATATATATATATATATATATATATATATATATATATATATATATATATATATATATATATATATATATATATATATATATATATATATATATATAATAATTTAATATTTTAATACAATTTTTCAATTGAATAAGTTGCTACTTTAAGTTTCATGCAACAAGCAATCATCAGGCAACATATTAATACGGTTAAGTTGTTGCGTTTTACTACTCGCAATGTTTGCTGACGCGTGTTCGTTTGAATCGTCCCGCGTGGAATCTGCGCGCATGCACGCATTTCATGAAAATTTCGCTACGTTTATTTAAATTAGACCGAGAATTATAACTACGGAGTATTTGCAATTTCTCTTCTAAACATAAATTGCAACTATTTCCACCGGCTTTGATTGAACTTGCTCGGGATAAGATGGACCACTTGATATTAAATTGTTTTCTATTTAGTTTTAGTTTCCAAACATGTTTAGAAAGTTCAGTTTCATTCTCGTATTTAATATCATTGAATGATTTCTTGTGATTTCTGTATCTCTCCTTAAATGTTGTCGCTGTCATACCAATGTAGGTTTTTATATCGTTGTTGTCTTTCGTTTTTACCTCGGCTTGATAAACTAAATCTTTCGTCAAGCACATGTTGTTAAGCGGGCACTCGTTTACATTTCTGCAGTTACAAAGTTTTTCGATGTTGTTATCGTTGGTAGATTCTTCGGATTTAGTTTCTCTCAATACGCGTTTGTTATGTCTCGATATGACGCTCTTTACATTATTCATACAGCTATAGCTAACTTTGATCGTGTTTCGGTTGAAGATCTTATGAAGGGGTGATGTTTTGGGAAAATGTTTGTCGATTAATTTCAAGAAATCTCGGGCGACATTGGTTCGTACGTTTTTACTATACGGCGGGTTGAACCAGATAATTCTTCTTGTGCGTTTATGTTTCTCGTTTTGCGATCGACTTTCGGTTGTAGACGTTGTTTATATACTCAAATACTCAACTGCTGAAACAACGTCTACAACCGAAAGTCGATCGCAAAACGAGAAACATAAACGCACAAGAAGAATTATCTGGTTCAACCCGCCGTATAGTAAAAACGTACGAACCAATGTCGCCCGAGATTTCTTGAAATTAATCGACAAACATTTTCCCAAAACATCACCCCTTCATAAGATCTTCAACCGAAACACGATCAAAGTTAGCTATAGCTGTATGAATAATGTAAAGAGCGTCATATCGAGACATAACAAACGCGTATTGAGAGAATCTAAATCCGAAGAATCTACCAACGATAACAACATTGAAAAACTTTGTAACTGCAGAAATGTAAACGAATGCCCGCTTAACAACATGTGCTTGACGAAAGATTTAGTTTATCAAGCCGAGGTAAAAACGAAAGACAACAACGATATAAAATCCTACATTGGTATGACAGCGACAACATTTAAGGAGAGATACAGAAATCACAAGAAATCATTCAATGATATTAAATACGAGAATGAAACTGAACTTTCTAAACATGTTTGGAAACTAAAACTAAATAGAAAACAATTTAATATCAAGTGGTCCATCTTATCCCGAGCAAGTTCAATCAAAGCCGGTGGAAATAGTTGCAATTTATGTTTAGAAGAGAAATTGCAAATACTCCGTAGTTATAATTCTAGGTCTAATTTAAATAAACGTAGCGAAATTTTCATGAAATGCGTGCATGCGCGCAGATTCCACGCGGGACGATTCAAACGAACACGCGTCAGCAAACATTGCGAGTAGTAAAACGCAACAACTTAACCGTATTAATATGTTGCCTGATGATTGCTTGTTGCATGAAACTTAAAGTAGCAACTTATTCAATTGAAAAATTGTATTAAAATATTAAATTATTATTATATGCTCTACAATTGTCCTGTATTGAGCACTCTTTATTCTTAAAAACGGGAAATTACTTGATGAAATTATATATATATATATATATATATATATATATATATATATATATATATATATATATATATATATATATATATATATATATATATATATATATATATATAAAGTAATGTTGTGCTTTTAAT